GGAGCTTCTTCAGGGGGCCAGACTCAATGAAGGGGAAAAGGTAAGGCTGGATTTAGGAAGAGTTTCAGAACACTTACCCCTTTCTCCCACTGTGGACACCTAAGATGATAAACACTCCTTTCTCCAGGCTTGCTGGCTGGCATTACATTCAGGCTTGCCAGCTACACGTCAGCTACAGCCCAGACTTCTTTGGAGACCCTTACTGTGCAGCCAGAAATGGTGTTTCCTCTTTCAGCAGCTGGAGACCAAGACTCATCTGGGCAAGACCAGGGAAAGCCAACCAAGAGCACTAGCAAAGCCACCAGTCTGAGCCAGTGCTGCTCAGAAAGGAACCAGACTGAGACCTGCTGAAGGAGCAGACTCTTTCATTAACCACATGTATAGGAAAGCCCCAAGCAAACCCATTCACGAGTAACCAGCACCATATGACATATGGCTAAGATCCCAGAGAGCTCTCTCCTGGTTTGAAAGCTTGGGGCATCCCGCTCTGCTAAGTTTCCATATAGGGCAGAGATGTAAATTGCTGTCTGCTGGGTGCCACGAAGTTACACTGCTCCTCTTTACCCTTCTAGTGTCTACAAGGAACTCTGTTCTTTACCAGCAGTCGGGCTGGGCATTGCAACACAGCAGTCAGAGGAGGTCATTGCTCGAGGTATGAGAGCTGGGGAAAAACCTCTGCATGTCCAGATTCAATTCCATGTAGTAGTTTACCTGGATTTGTTATATGTTTATATATCTCTAAAGGGTGAAGAGGTCCAAGGAACAGCAAAGGAAGGGGGGGGACCCCAAATAGTCTGCAAAACACAAAGGGTTGTGGCAGGGAGCCTTTCTTTGTTGCATACAGGCTGTTAAAACAGTTCGAGTAGATAAATGTCAACTCCTGTAGAGATGACAGTATCAATGTGCCCAAGTACTGATATCCCTCCAGGTTATTACCCATGAATTCAAGTCCACCTCATGCCACAATATCGTGTTCTGCAGAGGACATACACCTTCCACTACCCCAGTAAAGTAGCATTTCCTGGTATCATAAAAGACGCCTTTGAACAAGTTTGTGTGTTTAAGTTCTATATGTTTCTGTAGATTCAGATGGAGAAATAGTAACCAGAAAACATCACAGGCCAAAGTCAAGATAGATATATGCTAAGATATTATGTGAAAGTTTCCCAGGGCCTGACAGTCTTTGGAAATAAGTAATTCTGACAAATTTGCAAGAAATTATCAATTTAGACCACCAGGGTTTAATGGTGTACAAGGCTGTCAGCACAGATTAGCATCTGCAACAGGTTGTATAACTTGGATCACACCCAGGAGGGCAGTGGCTGCTCTATGCAGATTAAGAATACGGAGTTATGTATACAGGTGGTGAAACAAAGTGCCTTCTGAAGGAATTTCTAGAGACCTACCTAGAAAGCAGTGGTGCATCAGGATGACCTTCTGCTTCCGAGTGTGCACATTGGGGTTGGCCTTCTAACGGCTGCCCCAGCTAGTGAGCAAACGTGAATGACTGGTGTGTTATGTGAATAATTACCTGTTTTTACTAATAACACCTTGATCCTATTAACAACAGCAGCTAATGAATAAAAGATATTTTAAGAAATAGCAGTTGTAAACTGTGTTTTCCCTGAACAGTATTCTGTAAAAAGGAAAAAGGAATTTATTCCACTTGTTTAGGAAAAACATGCTAAAGACAGCACATTACTCATACTTCTTCATGGTGGCACCTGCAGACCCAGCTAGGACAGCCATGAAACGGTTTGTGGAAAGCCCCTCCTTCTGAAACGTGCTATAGGAAATTCAGTCAAATTCAGCTCTGGGGAGGTACTTGACAGGAACTATGTGCGTGTTTGTAAGGGCAAGATCTGTTCAAAGGGAGAAGGTCCTATGTAAGAGCCAGCTAAGTGCTTTCTGCTCCACCACCTACACATTGTCTCCTGTGCATGCTTCAAGGGATGGCTGGAGTCCCTGAACTGGCAAACCCAACTCTGCCACTTGGTCACTTTACAGACATGGGGCATTTCTCAAGTCTGCTGTTTTATTGAAGCATCACCATAGGCAATGCCTTGTGGCTGTCACAGATGTACAGAGATGCAAACTCAGCACTTCTAATGCAGAAAAGTAGCAAGTGTTGCAAATAAATGAGACCCACGACATTTTATCTTGTAAACCCCCCCCTTAATCTGCCTCCAGGTAACCTGCATTTCCATCTCTCCAGGGCTGTCAAGTTTGTACCTCCTATTAAGGAACAGCCAGATTTCTCCATCTATAAAAAGAATGTGAGGTTGTTTTAGTAACTATTGCAACAAAACTAGCTTTATTGAGTCAGACCAAAAGTATCCTCTGACTAACCACAGCCAGCAACAGTTGCTTTGAGCCCTATAGAACAACAGTCAGATTATATCTGGACCTCTATTTTTAATACTACCAACAACCTCACCCTTCCATGAAAGTGCTGAAAGGTTTGAGCAGATCACACAATCTTGCAGCTCCTACCCTGGAGAGAGTTTGTAACCCAAGATGCAAAATCCCCATATACAGATGCAGGCACAGAGCTGCCTTGCAAGAGGCAGCCCAGAGCATTTGCGGCAAAGCTGAGAATCAAATGCAATCTCTTGCCATTAGGTTATATTTTCAAAACTATCTGTCCTAAACATGACAGGAATGATTAAACTAAAGAAACAAAGGCTTTTGACAGACGAAATATCCTTCCAGATTTTCCGGTGTTGTTTCAGCTTGATCACTGAAATTCCTCATGCACACCTGACTTCTGTGTGTGCATGAGCACGGCACTTACACATGCCCAGATGAAACACTATTCAGCCAAAACTTTCTGCTTGATGAATATATTCCTATTGTCTCCACTATCTCCTTCAATACTAGCACACTGATACCAGCAACATCATATTAAAGATAAGGAGCAGAGCTTTTCCAGTGTTTCTCCTCCTCCAATTCCCCCCCCCCCCCTCACTGATGAGGTCCTGGCTTTGAGAGCTTTCTGGGTGCAGGCAGCCAGAGCCGGCACTCCCGGCAAGCTGCGGTCAGCAAACATTTGCAATCAGCAGCTGACTTCCTGCTGTCACCTGCCTGCACAGGCAGACAATGAAACGCTTTGCTTTTGTGCCCGGCGCCACACTTCGAGGGCAAAAGAAGGTCCCTCAAGCTGTGGGACCTTCTGAGCCTCCACATTGCCTACTGCTGTTGGATTTGATTAGTGCTCAAGTAAAAGAAGCCAAATTGTGTGATCGAGGAATGGGGGAAAGTGAGCTGGCTCAGCTATGCTTTAATGATATTAGTCATGAATTTTTACTCAATGTTCTCAAAGCTTGCTTTCCTTTTTTCCTCTTTTCTCTTTCATCTGCATGAAACACGGATGATATCAGTCCTGCTGAGATAGTCCTGAAAACTTTGCTTAGCTTTGATACTTCCACCTCTACCTCAGACTTCAAGGAAAGCCTGTGGAGTGTCAGCACCTGTTGAGCTAAAGGAACTCCTTTGCAATCCTCTGAACCAGTGTCAAAGCACTGTCAAATCCCCACACTTCAAGAAGAAACCTTCCTACTTCAGAAAGCAACATGCCTTTACTTCTGTGCACCAGCAAGTAAGGTGGCTGATTGCATGGCTCCAGTGCCCTCTAAAGCTTTCAAACTGCTGCTACCAGCAACCCAAACAGATGCCACCTCTTGTGGCATTTAAAAAGCCTTAGGGTATCAAGTGAGAGTTCTCCAAGTTTGTATTGTCAGACATGCCAGAGAGGAGTCAGCAAGAACCTTAAGATTAAATCCCATCACTTTAGGACTTGAATGACTTACAGTGCAGATGGAGTGGGTGAGGGAATGTGTATGAGGTAATTTATACACCTACTCAAGTTAAATTCCAGTGGCATCCATTCCCTCCCCTCAGAGAAGTGTCTCTGGTCTGGCTCTGTATGCAACAACGTGAGCATATCAGCTTCTCCATCAATGAGGTAGAAATTTACAATTCCCCTTTCCCTCAGTTAGACTCACGAAGATTAAAAAATGTGCTTTATTTAACCTTATGTATAAAACATGAACTGTACAAGACGTTTGGATGCTTATTCCCACTTTGCCACTAATCAGCTGAGCAACCTCAGTCATGTCTTCTTCTTTCTTCACAGGAGGAACTAATCCCCATCACACTGAGTCTTATGCAACAAACCCCTGCTGCAGCCTGTGATACTGCTGCACCCATTAAAGGAAAAATTGGACCTATCCCAGATGGCCAGAGGCTTGGCAAAGCAGTTGGTTTTGAACCATCCCACAGCCTATTTGATTCTACATTCTTCCTTAAGATCTTCTTGCAGATGAAGAAAAAAGTAAATTTCAGACCAAAAAAGCCTTTAAAAATTTCACAACATGTAATAAAAGGGTTTGCAACTGGTTTATTTGCTTAGTGATGAAACAACAGAGGATATAGCCACTGGAAGCCTTTCAGCTAGGATCTGCTTTTTGATATCAGAGGAGATATGATAGCTGTTCAGATCTAGTGGGAGTCCCTATGGACACTGTTTGAAGATCAAACATCTGTAATTTTCCCTCATACAGGACATCCTGTCAACCACTGCAGGGACATGGTCACACTAAAAAAAAGTGCCAGATTTTCTGTTTGTCTGCAAGCACCAGAGAGTTTCTGAATCTTTGGCTGACCACAGAAACCCGAGAACAGTAAACTTTAGATAAGACTGATGCCAGGCACAACCCATACTCACTGACATGTGAGGAGCAAGGGGTTACTTAAGTGAAATGTCCTGACCAGGCACACAAACACCCCCTAAGGCTGACATCACCCAACCAAGATAACAGCTCAGGGACAGACCTCATCAAAGGATGGCCTCAGTCTCCAGCACCTCAGATGACACTTCCGAGACTCTGACCCTCCACTCCATTATCTGTGAGGTCATCAGCTGAGAAATATTCCTGACTTGGCCAAAGGGATCCCACAGCAGACCTGCTCTTGCATTGGGAAGAGCCTTCAAATCAACTATTAAGATGCTCAGAGACCTGAAAAACAAAGCTTTCCTATGCCTCTAGAAGAGGGTACAAAGGTACTTAAAATAGCAACCATGTCCCTAGAACTAATTCATAAAATTCTAGACCTTGATGATATCCCAGCAATGAGCAGAAAAATATCACATGGGAGGTCAGGCTACCATGTCATCATCAGAAAAGAGACTTTCACAAGCCTTCATTACATGTAAGGCCATGGACAAGGGCACTGCTTTCCTCAACAGCAGGGGACTCTAAACTGTCAGAAACACAGGTTCTGGAGCCTCAGGGTTGCTTCAGGCTCCCAGTATCAGAGCCAAAATCTTCCCTTTACTACCCAGAACATACCTAATTACAGGAAAGGGACAGACACAATAGAGAAGTAAAAAAGATAAGTCTCTATTCAACAAAGTATGCTTTCCTCCCCAAGAGCAGACCATGCACTACTTTGCTCCCCATCCTCTACACAGTACCAGTTATAATAAGCGGTTTCCCTCTGCTTCCCCTTTTCTCTAGCAGCTGCTTTACCAGCCTTAAACAATGGTCTGAACCACAAGCAGAATTTCTGAGGCTGAATCTCTGAACCTGCACTACAGTTTTGCTGCAGCCCATCATTTCCCTAGCACATATCATCAACACCCTACATACTCACATCCCCCAAATAACCTTCCAGAAGTTCTTGTCCCAGTGGGCTCCTTTTATAGGAAAGTCCCACTGCTCAGTTGCCCTCTACTCCCCACAAATCTGCCCACCTGGAAGGGGGAGCAGGTACAACTTTCCTCAACAGAGAAGTTATGACCTTGTGCTAATTACACTACAAAATCTCCAAAATGCATAGGCTGAGACCCTAACTATGCCTGAAAGTAATTTATTCATACATTTGACTGAGCATAAGAGAATGATCTGCCATCTTAGCCTTTCATAGAGGTCACTCAGACCAAGGTTTATACATACAGGTGATTTTGGAAATCCTGCCAAAGATACTGTGAAGAACACGCTTTTCAGAGATCAGGGGCTCTGGGTTTTTTTCCTGGAAATCAGAGATTTAATGACCAGGGTTTTTTTAACTTAGATTATTTTGAGTTCTGCCCTTGGAAACTTGCTAGTAATTGCTAGTTCTTTGGGAATTCTAGCTTTTATTCTGTCAAGATAACCCAGCAAAGTGGGAGGGAGAGCAGCTCCAAATTAGCATTTAGCTGATGGTACAAACAACATATTTGAGGTCACCTTCTCCCTGTTATTATAGGGCTTAGCACATTTTGAATGTGTGTGCTTTTACTCAGCTCAGATGAAGACTCAACAGTATCTGCTGGTGGTCCAAACCAAAAGAGTCACTCAGTTTTCAATGAGAGGTACCATGTCTAAGACACTGGGGCTGAGGTCATAAGAGGACATGGCAGTGGACACTGCCATGTGTCCTTATTTGTTGGGTCATCGAGGGTAGAAATGTCAGAAGACTGAGTGATTTTACTGGAGGACCTACAGTCTTCCTTGTGACACATAGATCACTTGCTCCTTTGGTGTTTGGGTGGGCATGATGGGATACTGCTGAATTCTCCTTTACTACATCATTAATGTAGTTGATTTGGGAGAGAAGGTGGAGACACCCCCAGTTGTGTGGGAATACTGACAGAGTCCCGATATCCAGATCCTCCCTCTGAGAGGAGACTTTGCTACTGGGGTCAACTTAGCAAACAAGATGTCTTTTGATTAGTTAGTTGTTTTCTGGCAGTAGGGCCAGAAACGATTGCAAACTGCTCTGCCTTTGGCCAGACATTTGGTAGATTGCCACATTATATATTTATTAAAGGAATGAAGAAATCTGAACTGGATAAAAATAGCAAGGCTTGGATTAGAAAGTGGCTGGCAAATGACTAACAGAGGTTCACTGTTGCTCCAGGATGCCTAGCGTTGCCAGAAAGATCCTGCACAGTGTGGATGTGGGTCTGCCAAGCTGGGGCAGAGGAGACATAAGACACAAATCTGGGCTGAAGAAGCACAGTGAAAAACATCACCAGGTCAGACTGACAGATGTCTTGGTGAAGAGAGGTAGTATGCCAGTGAAATAGGCTCTCTTTGGTAGAGGCTGCACACAGATCTGCTCCTTGCAGCCCAGCAAAGCTGGAAGATGTACGCTTGGAGGTGAGGTGCACAGTGGTGTCTGCTCTTCTGCCGCACAAGATGGGAAGTTCACTCTCTTAGTGGCAGTCGAGCAGTATTAGTGGTCCTCACATTACTCCTGGTCAAAACCTCCTGTTTAAAATGCCCTTTTTGAGAATTTTTAGTCAAAAGGGAGTTTTCCTTAAGAACTGGTGCCTTCTACCTCCTGTGGTGTTTCCAGTGGGTGGTTAAAAATGGAAAAGAGACTGGATAGCTGGAGGGTCCAGTCTCCTCAAGTCTTTGGTTTTTGCTCCCTCTTCGGATGGGTCAAGAGTCTCCCCCTCTAATGGAGGTAATCAGTTGATTCTCTGGTGCCAGTGTGGTATTAGTCGAGCTCTTTAAAGAGTTGCCACCTGCAGAGCAACACTACAGTTGCTAAAAAATTGCCCTTTGGGATCCAAGACCTGGAATTGACTTCTTTTTCCTACACAGAAGAAAGCTTCTAGCAGGCTGTGGAGATGGCACACACATTGTGTCCAAGGTGCAGTGCTGCCACTTGGAGGACAGTCACCTCCATGCAGAACCCAGATGATCTTCAGTCATTCCAAACATATAGAATGGTTTTATGTACACACATTTTCCTCTGTCACTTCTTGTCACAGGTCTGTTCTGGAGTCAGTATGGCCAAAGGGTTGTTCGGGTAAACTATTTCATATATAGACTTTGATGCTTCTATTAAGATAATGGGTGAAGGCTGCCATCAAGATCAAGGGCTGCATTGTTCTGGGTGTTGTACAGTATCTCTACTACATTCTGTATCTGCACGCTAGGATACACCCACTGTCTCGAAAATCTTACAGTCTAAGTAGACACTTGAATGGGAAAGGAGACAGAGGCATGTGAAAGAGGAATAATTTATCCATGATCAAAGACTAAGCTGGAATTACAAGAGCCGATGTCCTGGGTGGGATCTGTTATCTCCTTTGAGCATAACCACCTACCAATGACCGACACAGTCTGTAAATGCTCATAATAAAAAGCATCCCAGAAACAAGCCACGCGTAATTTCTGAGGACATTCTGTTCTTTCTCTGGTTACAATCCATGGGCGGGTAAGGGCTGTTCCAGCAGCTGCATGCAAGGCTTCAGACGTAGCAACAGCAAGTGGACCGTGGCTGTAAGAATGACTCCTGTCATATGCAATCATCTACCAGCACACCCTGTGGTGCTAATGAAAAAATCATTTCACAAAGTGCACTGTGTGCATTATTAGATGAAGTAAGAGCTGAGGCAGCGTCGCCATCCCTCAGTCGGACGGGGAACTGCAGGGGCAATGGGTCGGAGGTTGGTGCCTGCAGTACCACAGTGCGTTACAGATTCCTCTTTGGTCACCTTGATGGCCTGAGGTCTGACTCATGTTGCCATACTTCTGACAAATGTGAAGAGGAAGGGTTGGACTCTGTCTCCAAACAGGTACTGCGATGTAATCGGACAACACAAAGTCTGGGAGTTAGCACATCTTTCACAGTGGTAACAGGTAAGGATAAAGCTGTCTGAAGTACATCATTCCAGAAAATACCACCCAATGATGGATAAATATGAACATTAGTTTCTTCTAATGTGGTGGTGGTTGGAGTTTTTGCCCCCTTCTCTCTTGGTGTGGCAACACCTGCTTTGTCCTCTAAACACAGGGCTCATTCCTACTTTGCACGTGTTAACGTAAAACCAGTGCAAACTTTGCTGCTGATTTTCATTCTGACACCAGATACAGGTCCTCATATAAACACCAATGTTTGGGAAGAGCTGACTTTATACAGGATCCTCTTTTGCTCCTGAGGTGGTGCCATCCCAGTGTATGAGGTCTCAGCACCCAGTTTCTGGCCAGAAACCACGATGTTCTTGCACTTTCTACTGTAGGGTACCCCCCTTCTCAGTTGTGATATATTGTATGGGTACCCTCAGCTCCCTCTTCCTCTCCCTAATAGCAGGCTGTTCTCTGGTCCGTTTTCAGCTCAGATGTACCACGTGAGATAACATTTTGCTGCTTGGATCTGGACAAGTCACTATCTGTGCCTTGCCTCAGTTACCAGCCTCTAGTCAACAGCTGACACATCACAAGTGTACTGAGAGTTTGCAGTAGACCATGCCCTGGGATGCTGCAGTGATGGAGGTGAGATAAGGAAGACTTTGTAAAACATTCACACAAAGCAAACTTGACTGCTGTCAGCTATGGCAAATGAATGTAACTGGCCAGAACCAAGTTTGTCACCATGCATTGACTCCCCTCAGCAGCACCTGACCAGCATGAAGCCATCTTTCCTACCTGTGAATCAGTGGTGGCACTCAGAAAAGGTTTATTATTTCTAGCCACAATTCTCTTTCCTTCACCCTCTGGATCTGATTTTTAGGACTCAAGGAAAATCTTGCTTGGTACACAGGTCATGCTCTTAGCCTGTAACCAAAATATCTGGTCCATTTAGACTGGAAGAGAAACATCTCCTTCAGAGAGTGTTGCGCTTCAATAAAGAACCTCTTTGTGGTGGACCTCAGCAGTGATGAAACCTTGTCCTGACTGGCAGAATGAAAGCCAAGGGGCTTGTCCCCAACAGGCCAACAAAAGTGATGCTTTATTATTTATGCTGGTTTCTTGGGACACTTATAAAAGAGGTCAGGGTTGGCCAACAACTGTATGCCTGCAATATTTTTCCAACAGTCGTCAGTAAAAGTGCTTCACCCTTAAGATTTCGACAGAAAGCTGGGTAGTGGCCCTGACAACAATGGCATTTACATGATAGATTTTGTGATGCCAGTTTATCCTGTCTTGGAGCTTTCTTCATCTTGGCCGTCATTCAGCCTCCAAGCTCATCATCACCACCATTTATTGGGACTATCTGACTATTCTGGCAAAAGAGATGGTCCCAGTCAGTGCACATGACACTGGGGAATGCTGGAGCTGGAGCCAGATCCTGCACCCTGGGTTTTATTGGGAAATTATTCAGCTTTCCTTACAGTTTGCTGGGGGCCACCACACCCCATGGGCTGATCTGATGCTCACCACTAAAATGCAGCCACTCCCGAAGTGAAGAGTAGCAACAAGTATTACACTGAAGGCCAAGAGAAGTTCTTGGCCAAGGACAGAGCAAAAAAGATCCAATATTTTAATGTACAAACACTGAACATCTGAGTTCTCTCAGGCAAGCAGCCAGGACCCACACTCAGCAAGTCTTGGTCAACACAGAGAGGTTCTACGTGCCTGCTCGGCCTCGCTACCTCCTGTAATTTCTGGCAAGCCTTTTGACAATTGGGTGTTCATTGGAAAGCCCAGTTGTTCAGAGCTCAAGACTGTCAGTTTGCCTTTTATGAGTGAGAACAGCATGTTCTCAGCCCTGCCATTTCCAGAGGAAACAAGCCCCAAGAGTACCTTAAAGGCTTGGACACAAATAGCTTGCGCTGTGTATTATTTTCAAGCCAGTCTAATGATTTTGCAGGTCTGACTCATTGCAGGTAAATGCAGAAAGTTAGTCATGATAGTCATCTGTAGGCAAAGAGGAAGGACCTCACTGGACTCATCCCAGAGCAGTTTTTATTGCTGTTGTAGGGCAAAGAGCTGAGACAGATTTGTGCGTCCCAGACCTTGGCGTTTGCCTGAGGACCTGTGAAAAAGTGTGGATACAGACTGTTCATACTGCTGATGGCTTTACATCCATCTTCCTGCTGAGAGTTGATGAGCATCTGATCCTTCCTGAGCTAAGGCCAGATATTGGTAGAAGACTCATCAGCTGCCATGGTGCTGGTCTGTGGGAAGTGTGCACACCAGTGGTGACTGCCCTGTGGCACTCTGCAGCAGAGAACTCACACCAGGGTGCTGCTGTCCTCCACCCATGGGCACAGCCACTAGCAGCTCCACACCACTACTGTGAACACAGCCAGTCAGAATAATTTTTGGACTTTACGCATGCTGAGGCCTCGAGATACTTGGTGTTGATAAGCAGAGAGGAGGAAAGGAGAACTTTTAAGGTTGGATCCCCTACAGATCCTGTTGTCTGCACTGGACATATTCATGTCCAGCACAGAAGTATTTCCCTGAACCCCTGCGATCCAAGGATGCTCTTCTGCAGCAGCACTGAGCCTCAGCCCGGCTGCAGGCCAAGCTGGGAGCACCATCTGCTGGCTTTGACGCGGCGGGCTGGCTCGTCAGAGGGACAATCACAGGGTAATTCAGGGCTCCGGGTGCCGCGGCACGGTCATTAGACTGCATAGCAAATTAGAGATGGAAAAGATCACAGGGTTGCGTAAATCCCTCGGCTAAACCTCCTCCTGTCAGCCTTACAAAAGAGACTCCAAACCAGTTAGTCTCTCTGCACTAGAGCTGGGCAAACTGACCTGGGTGAAGGAGATCCAGTTGTAAATCGGCTGGAACTCTTTATGGCTTCTTCAGAGCTTGTGAAAGATTTCAACTGAAGAAGTTCAAAGCATGTCACTGGGAAGCCTTCTTAGTGCTTAATTCTTACAGTTTGAAATGCAGTTTTGTTTACAAATATTTCTGATAATAATAATAATAATAATATTGAGGGGAGTGCCGGGACCCTGAAAGGGAAACAAAATGTGTGTCTCGGGTGCAACAATGCAACATTTAAGCAGAGCTCCACATATCTCTTAAATCCATAGCCCTTCCCCCTTTTTTTTAAGTTTTTGCCATGCCCCAAATATTCACATGAAGGGGCCAAGGGCCAAGCACAATTCCCTCTTGAGAGATAGAGCCCTTGTGGGTGCTGAAGGGAGGCTCGTTTTACAGATCCACCTACATTGATGCCTGTGACACGTATACCCCATGACTCTGATCTTGTCTGTGGTGGCCTGAGCAAAGCTCTTTGAAGGATGTTGTCCATGTCCAGGATGAGCAGTAGCACATGGCCTGGGATACTGGTTCCCAAAGGGCCATGGTGGAGAGCTCTGTGGGTGCCACTCCACGTGGGAATCAGGCTTTTCTGCGGGGTGAATGGCGACAGGAGCGAGATGTGGCTGGAAAGTGGCCAGGGTATGTTGCTAGACCTGGGAGCTCAGTAGGGTCCCTCTCACCTCCAGGGGTTATCTCACCAACTGCCAGCCAGCCAGGAATGTGCTTTGACTTGCTCAGTCCTGCTCATCCTAATTACACCTTCCTGGAGGGCTATACATAATTTCCCTCCCACCGTCACTGTCCTTTTTCTCCAAGCTGATCCTGCTTGTCCTTTAATGGCACACCTCCTCACTTTCCTTTGCTTTTCATCCCCAGATACCCACCTCTCAGCACTCCTGCCCCTTTCCCTCTCACAGCCCTCAATTGCCTGGTTTGTGAGTGCTGGACAAAGATGCCCTGGACCCATATTTGCTTTCTGAACTCTCAAAAGGAACACCTTTTTTTGGTCAACACAGCATGAGCCTGTGCAAGTAATTTCCACAAGAAGACCATTTCTCCAGTACTGTAACTGACAATATGTGACAAAGGAATCATTGTAGCCCACACTAAGGATCAACGAGAGCTTTTGAAGTGTTCTAAGTTTACTCGTTACAGGACACAGACAACTTCTACGTACCACGACTAAAGAGGGTGTTTCCCTAAAGATCCTTGCCTTTCCCTTGAAACTGGCTGCCTTAAACATCAGACTAGTCAGATGGAGGCTGGGGCCAGCCTAGGACGCAGGATCTATCCCCAAACCACTGCCTGGCTCACTCCAAGCCTGTTTTACATGCTGTAAAATGAGAAAAGTGGGGGAGCTGTTTCACTGAGGCACTTAGAGAGCTAGAGGTGGAAAATGTTTTGTAGGTGTTCATGCCTTGAACCCTGAACCAAACCTCCATAGCCATTGCAACATTTCTGACCCTTCTGATGTGAAATAATTTTCTTGATTTCTTGTGCACACCTTAAGCTTTTCTCCAGCAACTGAAGAACAGCCTAAACCTTTGACCCTTCTGCCTTCTCCATAGCTGGGCAGAAGTCACTTTCCATCAGATGTGTGATGGATGTGTCCAGTCCCACACTTCACTGCAGTGGACAAGGATCCTCTGAGCTGTCCCTGCATGAACTGTAAGGAGAACCTATGAATGTCAGGGTACATTCAATAATGGTAAAGTACAAGAAGACCTTGCAGGAGGCTGCTTAGTGTGCGTCACCCATGCAGAGAGCAGCATTAGGGAACATAAAGGTTACAAAATCAAGCCAACAGCAAAGAGGTCATGCAGCCATTTGCGTGTCCTGGTGTGTCAATACTGTCTTTAATGGCACAATCTCCGACTGATATAGCTAAGCACAAAAATAAACAGAGAGGCTTCTGGGCACACCAGCACCTTTCCTACACTTTCAGAGACAAAATGCTAAAACACCCCATGTTTGCTTTTATTGCATGTCAGTTGATCTCATGAAAGCCTTTATTTGGCTTTGTTTCTGGAGCCACTTGACTGTAGAAGCAGAATAGCACAGGGCATGTTCAATGCAGGATTGCAAGCAACATTTTCTAGGGGTGCTAGTGGATGTTTTGAAAGGCTTTAGGCACTATCGAAGCTGTATTTAGCTGGTGCAAAAGGCAAAACTGCAATCAAGTCAGTTGAAATCTGCTTACTGCACTGGAAATTGGACCTTCCTAAGACTATTCCAGCTCTTTTGGGGTTGAATTCTGTGTGCTGCCTAGACAAAATTCGTTCCTTTTTCTTTTGATTTCATACCTTTTGCATATCTTTTAACATAGGTGACTGAATTCTTTCTTGGCCTTTTTAACGGACATTTTGTTTTAAAAAACCTGTCCTTTGGGCACTTTGCATTGACACCAAGAATCTTCTGAGATATCTGTCAGCCAGACTTGGAATTATTACCTCCACTTCTTAACCTCTTTTTTATATCTGTTAGTTGTATTGCTACCAGGGTGGAAGGTAGCAAGAACATTAGAGGCCTTATTTTTTTACTTTTTCTATGATTACTCACACAAGTTCTTTTAGGACAGTTCAGATTTTCTCTGTTCTCTGGAAATTAAACATAGGCATATTATATTAATATTGTGGTTTGTTATTTATAGCAAGCTGGAAGCAATTATGACAGGTGGTGATTGGTTCTCTGTCTCTTGTTGTCCTCAAGCCCTGCCTGCTGTTCTGGGAGATGAGCAAATAGTCAAACACACATTACAGCACTTAGTGCAAAGGTCAGAAGAGATCTGTATTGACCAGGGGGTCAGGTGGGGTAACCTACCAGTCCTCACCATAAAACGTATTTTAATGCTCTTCCAGGTCCATTTTAGTAAATTTACAGAGCTTTTGTCAGAAACAATAACAAAATTTGAAGAACATTATAAAACAACATTGCATCCCATTTCTTTAGAGAGCACTTCACAGAGTCTTTTAAACAGCTTTTGAGGGCTGTAATTAAACATTTTGAAACATGTTTGGGACAGTTTTGTTTCAGGCTTTGTCTCCAGCTTCTTTGGTTTGACAAACATGATTGTTTCCAGGAAAGTGACTGTTACACTTAATAGGAATTAGAAGTTGGCAGGGGAGGCTGCTGTTTCCAAAGCTGCTGGTGCTTCTGTGAGCTTGGAAAAAGGCCTGGCTGTCTCTTGTAACAGTTAATAAAAAAATTAATTCCACCTTTTTTCTTGGATCACCTACGATTAATTTTTTCCTATTTTTTGCAATCTTCTTGCTTCATTTGTCTTGGAGTAACAAAAACAGCACGCCCCACTGAACTGAATGATGTCTTTCCTTTCCAGTTGGTCAAGATATGTCTAGAGTGTTGCACGATTCCAAAATGCTGATGCTGCCAGACCTGAGAAATGTGAAAACTTGGGTTCAAAGTCCTGAAACAGGCAGATGGAGACTTACAAGAAACAACTGGAAATTCTTCCCCTTCCTATCATTGGAAATAGATGCCAAGTGCAGAGTGGTGGCATCCCCTGCATCCCACCAGTGCTGTCCCAGTGGGACTGAGCCCCTCGGCAGCCCCTCAGCTCCCCTGGGCAGCATCAGCTTCTGCAGCTGCTCCCTTCAGCAGGTCCAGGACAGCCTGGGAGGGAGAGCACAGCCACCCCCACTATTTGAATTAGACCACCAAAACCATTATACTCTGCTAAACATCACAGCATCGAAATTTTATTTCAATTTTAAAATAAATAAAGGGCATATTTCCCTCACCTTTCACTTTCTGGGGTTTTATCTTCTACTAGACAAATTTTCAAGCTTTCTCTCAGCATACATAGCACCTTCGATTTTAAAATGCCCATGGCTCCAGGAGCTGGGGCTTTAATGAGTGCAAATACCATCAGCCTTGCTGTAATAGGACACAGCTGGGTGGCACAGCTGGCCCTGGGGTCAATTTTTAGCAGCTGCATTTTCTCCTTTCCTAGGTACCCACAAACTGTCCAGCCACTCCTGGGCTGAGGTGCTGCCCTGCCTGGGTGGGCAGCACTCCAGACAAAGGCAGTGTTTTGCCAGCAGTTTGCCATGCAGTGCCCAGGTCATGCCTGGCCAGAGCTTCCTGACCTGGGCATATCTGAGCTCGTTGTGAAGTCCATCGGAGAGCAAATCTTAGCTGGGCACATTTCCCTCCCTTAGGCTGTGTGACCTGGGAGGGACTTTCATCTGCCTGAGGTGTCCCCAAGCAAAGCTCAGCCTCCAGCCAGCCCTGCCTCATGGCTCAGCCACAGGGGCTCGGTCCTCTTCAAATCCTGCCTGAGTCCAACCCTTCTGCCTGGCAGCTGCACTCCGGATGAAATGAATTTGACTGGTCTCAGACCATGTTTTGGCTGATCATATCCACAGCATAAAATTTGGTTTAGCATTGTGGAGAAGATCCTCCTATGGCTTTGGGACACAGTGGTGCAGCTGATCAGGTTGATCTGGGGCCAGTCAGGGTGTCTGTGGTGGGTGCTGTGACAGTACTGGGATGTCAAACATGGCCAGCAGGCACAGGCTGGATGCACTTCTAAGTAGTTCTAGCAGCTGTTGGCTGCTAGACTGAGGGATAAGCCCTCAGGGAGAGACCACTAACTCTCCTATGGACTTTATAAGAAACCCCAAAAGCAAAAAATTAAGGGGCAATGGGAAGGTTTAGTCAGAGGCCTTTCTCCTGGGGTGAGAATGGCATGATGCAAACAGGAGGTGGGAAGAAAGAGCAGGTCACCAGGATGAAGGAGAAGCACATGGAGGTAAGAACTGGCCCTGATCTCCCTTTAACTCCTAGGGGAGACTGAGGCAGAGACAATGTTTACTTATCTGTGGCCCAAGCAGCAGACACAGACAGCCTGAACCCAAGCCCCCATCCCAGAGCACCCAGCACCCCAGCCTTGGCAGTGTCTCCAGGACAGGAGGAGGTGAGGGCACTCCAAAAGCAGCCCTTCCAGTTGTCTTTGCAGGGAATGGAGAGCCAGGACAGTGCTGGTGGAGATTGAATCAAGTGGTTACTTTAGGGGATTTGCTGTCTGTTTCTTGATCCCTCTCTCTCTCTTTTTTTTTCCTTTTTTTTTCTCTTTTTTTTTTTTTTTTTTTTTTTTTTTTTTTTTTTTTTTTTTTTGTTTTCCCTTTTCCCTCCCTCTTATCCCTTTCGTGGTGCATTTGTCTTCGAGGAACCTGGGGTGTTCTTTTCATCAGTTCAATCTCTCTCTGGCACTTGAGTCCTGATTGGCTGAAGGACTTAAGGGAAAAAAAATCTTTAATTAAGTAGATAATCTCTTCTTAGGAAGTTCTGCGGCTCCATTTCACCAACCCCCTTTAGCTCTTTAGGATTGGTTACCCTTTGCAGAAGTTGGGATTCAGGAGGCATACGCCTCTTCATCACACCAGGACTGCCGGGTGGAAAATAATTCCATCTCTTCCCTAATTTAGTTGTGCTTCTTTTTTTTTTCTTCTTCTCTGGTGGTGGTGGTACCCAAGCTGTTTTTTTAATAGGATCTCCTCTCTCCATCTTCATTTGGATTTTATATTTCACATGGAACCTTATCTGGCCATCTTCTTCCTCACTCCCTTCTTCCAATCCTGCTGTGCCTGGTGAGTATCGAGAGCACCTCAGTCTGTGTCACAGGCAGGTGCTCTTCCCAGATATCTGAATGAAATTCCTCTTCACCTTACTGAATGTCCCCTCCTTCCCATTTAGCTCAGTTCTGTCTTTAATGGAACCAGATATTTAACTAAGTCCCAACACACTCACTGGCAGAGGTTAGATCTGTGAAGTCCCCCTTTTTCCCTATGCCTCCCAAAAATAACTATGGGCCAAATCCTGAGCTGGGGTAAAATAGAGGAGAGTGGATGCTGAGGACCTAGCCCCTCACTTCCAACTGGGAAGATAACCCAACGGAAGAGCCAGGGACAAAGGCTCACAGTCAGCTTGTCTTTTGTCTTAATCAATCAAGTGGGGCTTCTCTCACACTCCCCAAAGAAGAAAGCCCCTGATTAAGAGCTCAGAGCCAGCAGTGGTGAGTTAGATCCACAGGATTGTCACTCTGCGTGAGTAGCCTGAGATCCAGGCTCCTTGGCAGACACAGGGTCAGAATTACATGTCTGAAATTCATGTATTAGGAATTCCTGGGGAGAAGCTTTTGGTACGGAGATTGCTACAGCTTGCTTTCCAACCACCTGAGTCCCGTCAGACCAGTTCCACTGTGCACAAATCTGTGGCCATCTCCTGTGGACTTGCTCTGTCCTAACGGCAGTTTTATATTTATTTCCAGGGAAGTTCTATAAAGATTAATAGAAAGAGATTATACTTGCATCATCTCATATCATTCCTTGCAGAGTATATCAGTCCCATGCCCAACCAGAGCATGGCTCCGTAGGTATTTTTTCCTATGTGATTTTTATCCATTGTTGTGATGCCCTAGGGAATCTGCAAAGTGGGTTACAGACTTATCTCTAATGGCAAGTAAAGTCTTTTTCCGTTGAATGACTAAAATCCCCTGCCTTCCCCAAAGCAGAACTTTAGGGTTATTACCATGGGTGGACAAGTCAAAATTATAGAAGGAGAAATTACAGAATAAATGGGAACTCATTTCTGCTATCTGAGAGTGAAATTTATGTTCTTTCAGAGATTTTCTACTTCCTTCATTAAAAGAATGTGCAACAATTTGTATATGCCTAAATACTATAAAGCAGCAAACTGAAGATAAATCTCCTTTCTGGAACAAGGGGAATATATGTGTTCTGCAGAAAGGCTAGGCAAGAGCTCATGTTGATTTTACTGTTATTTTTCTGCCCTTCCTATGTATGTGTCTTGCTTTCCTCAATAAAAACAGGTTTAAAATACATTAAAGAAAAAAAAAATCAACATTTTGAAGAAACAGCTGCAAAGGAAAGAAATTTCAGTGCACAAAGTAGACTTAAATTCGGAAATCTGAAGCATTTTCAATCCAAAGTTCGATGTTTAAATTCCGTGTCTGCTTTTCAGAAGTTTTATCTAAGAGAAAAGTTTATAGATCAAGATAACCCTGCTTCTCTCTGCATATTGCTCATAGGTCATGAGTTCCTGAGAGAAAGAGAAATTACAACCTTTATTTGGAATTATCATTTTACAGACACTATCCCTTAATTCTTGAGGAGAAAAAAAAGCAAAGTTTGTGGGAATCATAAAATAATTCTGCTTGAAATTTCTGCTGGTTTTCTTTATCTGATCCAACAGCTTAAAACACAATTTTCTCCTGTGATTTAATAACAAGAATTGGGAGCAGGTGGGGGGGCAATATAGAACAACAGAAATTATTTTTTATATATTTATTTGGCCACTTCCCTTCTCTGAGCATGGATTACATTCTACCATTTAATTGACCATCCAACCACTGTATTTGTAGATGATCAAAAGGTCAGGGTTGCATCGAGGAACTAAAAACCCTGAAATAAAGATAACTAAATAAAGAGAAATGAAGAAAAAAAAAGTAAAGTTTCAAATGTTATTGAGTTTCTGCCCAGTCTCCTATCCTGTGGGAATAATGTAACAAAATCTAATGCAGCAATTTGTTTCTAAACGGCTTTTTTATACACTTCAGCTGTGGGACTGCCTTTAGTTTCCAGCCTCCCATGTTTTCTAATAACCTTGGAGAGTTCATATTTGAGAATGAAACTCAGATCCAAAGTGAAATTCTATCCATTTTCTGTATTTACAATAATGACAGTAAAGATCTAAATACAGCTTTATAATTTTCTAAAGAGCTGAACCAGCAGCACAGTAGCCTGGGTGGGTGATAGGATATCAAACAAATATTTTAATGGGAGATTAGATAAGGCTCTTAGGGCATATTAAACTGAGGAGAGGGGTGCTGTCATTGGTTAGAGTCATAACTGAGATGGAATTATCAGAGGCTTGTTAGTATTTGATATGTGTAAAATATAGTGGGACAGCTGCTTGGCATGGTTCTTTGCTTTCAGAATCAATAACCTGTGATAGAGAACTCCTGCTATAGATACTAATTAGCTTTGAGATAATTTCCTAATATCGGATACAATGAAAATCTCTTGCCCTAGATTTGCTTTTTACCTGGAGACACAGAGTTGCAGTGAGTGAAGCAGTGTACTCTGGCCAGGGCCCTGCACAGGCTGGGGAGGGGGATGAGGAACTTGGTGGGTCTCCTCTCTCTACCTGCTGAGGTTTGAGTCTGTGTAATACTGTCCTGGAGTTTGAAGGTGGAGGGAAAGGGGTTTACGTAGCTAGAAACCTTGTGAGCTTTCTCAGAGAAGAGGAATGACTTCAAGTATTTCTTTTTATGTGTGTGATTTTAAAAAGTCACCAAAGTCTTGGGAATTCGGCTGGTTAACATCCACTGTAGATGCAGCTAGCTAATTATTAAGAATTACATTGTGCTTTCCTTTACAATGCTATGAAAATTTAGTAGAAATAAATAAATATTTTTGTTTAAAAAATCACACTACACAGAAAACAAATGAAGAGAGATTCATTTTGTAGTGACCCCTGTTTGCAGCACAGAGATGATTCTAATGGCATGGTCAATATTGCACTACATCTGTGAAACTTGTGGCTTAATTGCTCTCTGCCCTCACTGGAGACTGTACAGAACGGAGACATATTTTTCTTAGCTAAATCACAGGAGCAAAAATAAAACACACAGATTCTGTCTCCATTATTATCTTTCCTTCCCTCTCAGCAATAAATAAGAAAAATTTCAGCTAGCCTCCAGCCACATGACAGTCCCAGCTCCCTTCTCCTGAATCCACTTGCAGCAGCAAGAGTTAAATATTAGGGTGTCAAATGCACCAAGTCCAAATGAATCCTTTACTTGTCTAAGCCCTACAAACCCGCCCAGCAGCATGCCTGCCTGTTGATCCAAGAGCTCAGGGAAAATGCCTTCTGTCTCTACGACTGCTTAAAAATGTTTAGAATATCCTGCTGGGAAATTGCTACTGTATCATTTGTTCAGTTGCAGATGGCGAATTGGCGTATCCTGAACTTGGCCTTTTTGTGAACTTGAGATTTATCCTGGGAGGAACAGATCCTCTGCTTCAATGCAGTTATGTCAATTTGCTCCTGCTAACAGGCTGGTTTGCTGTAAACCCTGAATTTGTGGATTACTATCCTCCCCCTAAAGCCAGCCTTGCAACTGCTCAGATGTTCCTAATCCAAGGTGATGCCAGTAAGGGTTTGAAACAAATCCGTCTTGTACACTGTGAATTTGGGTTTTCCTACACACATAGGAAGCAATGCCGATGGGATGTATCTCTTGTTTTGGCCACAAAAGCAAGATAAGAGAGGACTTGCAATTTTCTAGTTCTTGCCTACAAAGGGGCACTTTACCAGAGGTTTTTTCACAGCTGCTACCAGGGGCTCAGATTCACACTGACACCATCCTGAGTGTGGTCCCCATAGCAAAGCACTTAAGGTCAAGGCAAAGGACAGGAGGGAAACCAGATGGAAAAATGACTTGTTCATGCTGCTACCCAGTTGCATTAGGATGGGGACCCATGGAGCTTACACAGTCTGATTAGCCCCAGGTTCATGGCCCTGTGTGATTCAGGTCACCCGATGCTCTAATCACTCAGCTACAGATGCCGCCTCTCCAAGTCCCAGGAAATATTTAATTAGCTGTACAATGCAGAAGCAGCTTCCAAAGGAAAATTCCTCTGCAAAACAACCATCGACTTCGTGCTAAAGTACCCATGAGCTGGAGCACAGCCGGGTCTGATTCCCAAGCCTGGAACAAAGGGAAAGGATCTCCTGCTCTTGCACAGCCCACTCGCATTTTGAATCTTTCCCAAAGCAAGCTTTCATCAATATGGACACATTTTCACCAAAAACCCTGACAAAAAACCAAAACCAACCAACCAACCAAATTAAAAAAAAAAAAAAGTTAGGCTTGCCAGAGCGAAGTGGTGCAAACTCATTCTCTCAACTCTTTCTAAACCGTAACAGCAACGATCAAATTTCTGGTGATTTTGACCAAAATAAAGTAATGAGACCTCCTTTTTGTCGTGTACCTTGGAGAGGATCTCCGTGAGGGCAGTTCTAGTGGAGGTAAAACAGGTTCACTAACTCCAGGAGCAGTTTTCTGGGGGCAGGGCAACATCCTCTCTCAATCTGTCACGTCTGATGTCTGGGCACCAGTCCTGCCTCCCAGTCTGCCTCTGTGTCTATGGCACGGCTGCACTTAGTCCTGCAGCTTGGGACAGCAGTGCCTGCTTCTGCCTGTGGATGCTTCCACACTCTGTCTGCGGCACTTTTAGCATAAAAAGAAGTTCCCTTTCTCTCCCTTACCAGGGAGATACCTGTGGCTCATTTGAAGCAAAACATCATCTCGAGGAGAAGCAGAGGGGCCCAGTTTCTATCAATACATGCTCTATCATTTCCCCTGGTCACTCACTCACCACAAGCTCTCAATCCACTCATGACACCTCTCTGGCCTCAGTGTACTCCCCAGGGGACAACAGCACTCACCCATTTCTCTGGGGTGCCAGCAGGGGAGGTGCTCCAGAGACAGTGATGAGAGTTATTTTGCAAAGCTAGAGAGGCTGGAATTAGCTGTTTGTAGGAGAGATTTCTCTTTTCTCACTTCCTTTCTGACTAGGGATATTTGGAGTTGGCTCTTGGGCCTTTTCAAAGTGTCAGTCCTTTCTGCCATGACATGGCTAAGCACAATTCACCCAGACATCCTCCAGATTCTATATGGTGGTCACTGCACCATATGGAGTTCTAATGCTGACTGAACATTTGCACTGAAAGTCTTTCCTGCTGAAGAAAGACTCAGACTGGACAGCATTGGTTCAGCAAGTTCCTGGGGACAGTGTTGGAGATCAGACACACTTCCAGACCCTTGGAGGTGATCCCTCCACACCTTCAGTGGGAACACTAGAAAGTTTAATTTTGGCTAGGCCCCCCTCCATCCCAAACCCCCAGGGCTCCCTGCAGTGTCCAACAGGATAGGGAGGACATGTGTACTTGTGTTCAGCCATCACTATAACCTGACCAAGAGGAGAGCGTGGGCAGCCAGAGCTGGCACTGCAGGAAACAAGGGACTATGATATGGAGGGATGCAGCTGGGACACACTGCAAAGGAGCAGCAGTGTGACCTCCTCCTTCCCTCAGCATGGTCCAACAGGGAGAATGGCACTGGCACACGGTCCAACTCCTGGGGCTGGGGGAAATGCTACTCTGAGTTAAGTTGAGCAACAGTTTGGTGAGGTAAAAAGCAAGGCTAAAGGAAGAGAATATTATTAAAATAATGGGGGGATTGCTACAAAGGGTAGCTGAGCAGAGGAAAGCAAAAGGAGGGAGCAGTGAGGGGGTTGCAGCCCAGTACAGCCTGGTTGAGGGGAGCAGGGTGGGGGGAAGGAGATGGCAGCATCCTGTCTCTCGGGGAGCAGCAAGGGGAGATGAAGGAAAGACCAAAGGTGCCTGCAGCCAGGAGACAGGCAGACTTCAGGGGAGTGAGAGAAGGGCTCTGGGATGCCTGGCATTCCCCAGGCCCCTCCACCATCACCCCCTCCCTGCTGACACTGTCTCTGTCTTCCAGGTCAGTGAATAATTTCCTGATGACGGGCCCCAAGGTAAGAGAAATCCCTTTGATCTCTGTCCCTGATTCCACTAAACCCAGGGAGGGAGAGAGAGAGACAGGGGCTCCTCCTTACCCCTCCTCTCCACCCAGCCTTGGCCAGAGCTCCCCTTATACCCAGATTTCCAGCAACAAGGCAGAGAAGGACCAGAAAAACCTGCTATAACTCCTTGAGCTACATCAGGCCTAAGCAATACTGACCTGGGGTTCTTTTAAGCTAGTTGGGACCAGATTCTGGAGATTTGTGTATTGATGCCAGCTGAAGCTCTCAGCTGTCATCTATTGCTTCCTGATGATCAGGCTGGCATTGGAACCTGCATTGATCCAGCTGGAAAGTACTTTCTGTAGGCCCTGTAAAACATACTTCCTCAAGGAGCACAATTAGAATTGCCAGGACTTTATTCAGTATTTTTGACCCCCCACATCCTTGCTCTCCTCTTTCAGAGGCTTTTTTTCCTAAACAGGACCAGTTGTAAAATTCACCCAGTTTTTGTTCTGGCAATTCCCCAGGAACACCTCCAGGCCCATCTAGCACTTTCTACAGCTCTCAATGCACTGGTGGAGCAACCTTGCCCCAAAGCAATGCTGTCTCCCTGGGGCTGTGGTGAAGAAGGAGGCAGGCTGAGGTACCTGCTGGCCTGGAGTTTCCTAATCTCTGAGCAGAAGGCTCTGCCTCCTCTCATGCTGGAGAGATAAGGGTTTCCCCATGGCAGAGGCTAGCTGGCACAACTCCCAGTGCAGCTAACAGCCAGGAGCTCAGCCTTCTTCCCCTGGGAGGCTCAGGCTCCAACCCAGCACAGCAGGAAATACCTTTGCTGATGCTGCTGGTGAACTTCACTTCCCAGGGAAGCCAAGCCTGGGAGACCTCCTCAGCTCTGTGTGTCTTGTCTCTGTAAGATGACATGCAGGTTATTTTCAGTTAAAAATACACATCATCCCTGTACTGACCCACTGCTCTGCTCCCAGGCCTACCTCATCTACTCCAGCAGCGTGGCGGCCGGGGCGCAGAGTGGCATCGAGGAGTGCAAGTTCCAGTTTGCCTGGGACCGCTGGAACTGCCCTGAGAGGGCATTGCAGCTCTCCAGCCACGGTGGGCTGCGCAGCGGTAAGGAAAGCATTGGATACCACTACCGGGACCCCCTTACTACAGGTTAGAGCCCATGGCCCCCTCCCCTCTTCCCAAGTGCCTCCTTTACTTTCCCATCCCCACCTGGCACATGTCTCTCCCAGGAATCCCTCAGAAGGATCTTTCCAGAAGACCCCTTCACCCATCAGCTCCCACACACAGTGGGATCTAGCCTCAACACAAGGCAGCCTTTCAATGCCAGCATCACCTCCGGACCCGCCAAACCCCAGCTTGAGCAGGACAACTCGCACAAGGATGTCTTCCCACAAGGATGCACCGTCATGAGCTCCACATGGGCTGCTGGACATGCCATGCCTAGATGGTGTCCCAGGGTATCCCATGGAGGCTGAGAACTAGCACAGGCTAGTGGTGTGCCAAGCAGAGGGGTATGGTTAAAGAGAGTAGGAAAGAGTTCATCAGTGGTTGTGCTCTGGCCAAGAGACAAGAGAAAAGTCTTCTCACAGCTTCCAGATATCAGAATCCCCCTGGGCAGAATTCCAGCATCCTTGTCCTGGGCCACTGCAGGGCATGGGGCTGTGGTCATTGTCACTGTATCCCATTCCTTACCTGTTTGCAGGTCCCAGGAAATATTTCAGTGCATATCTGGCCCTCCAGACCTACATATGATGCTAGGCTGAGCTCATACCTGCCCTGTAGAGGCAAGACCTGGGTGTGGAAGGGAGCCTCAGGCCTCTGGAGAGACTGGCAGCAGATAAGGGACCAGGGCCCCAGGCAGAGGTGGACAGAGATTTCAAAGTGGGGCCTTGAGGAGAGAATTGCAGGTCAAGTCCCACTCTGGGACCCAGAACAGGTCCCTGAATCATTCTTGTCAAGGCTATTTGCTCAGATCCACACCTTGCTGGTATTAAATGAAAGCCAAAGGCTCGGCGAACTCAGCTGATGATCTCCACACTGATCCTGGTGGGTAGGTATGGTCAGAGCCCTTCCAGCAGAAGGTAAGGCTCGAGAAGGCTGTGGGGAAGGAGCTCTTTGACCCTTGGAGAGGGCCCATTCCCTCTAGTATTGGTGAAAACTGGGGGACATTTGGCCATCTGTGCTATATTGCCATTGCTGAGCTCCCAAAGGACAGCCACGTGCTATCTCATCCACACCCTTTGAAATGGCATGAGTCAGCCTGGATCAAATTTGAGAGCTTCTGTCTTCATGCAGTTCAAGCCCAAACTAAGCTAATCTGACATGTAGGGCCTTCTCTCCACCCCACAAAGCCCTCCCCAAGCGGATCTCTTCCTACACAGACTCCTGCATGGCAGGAGTAATTTCTAACAGTGGTCTTGCTGTGAAATCCTTAGCACATCTGCTCTCTTTGTGTTCCCACTTGACAGCGAACAGAGAAACTGCCTTTGTCCATGCCATCAGCTCTGCGGGTGTCATGTACACACTGACCCGGAACTGCAGCCTCGGGGATTTTGACAACTGTGGCTGTGATGACTCCCGCAATGGACAACTGGGTAAGGAGAGACGAGCTGCTGCCCCTCACTCACGTACCAGGCAGCAGGAGAAGCTCTTCTCTCCGCTGCTGAGGCATGCAGAAACACCTCCCCTTCCTGGTCCCCACACCTGGAAATAACGCGCAGAGCAGAGCTTTGCCTGGTTCAAACCAAAGTAACTCTGAGGAATTTGGAAGTAAGCAAACCAAAGTACCTCTGTGGAAGCTAACTGAGGCACCTCCAATTTACACCAGCTGAGGCCAAGCCCTTGATGCTTTCCATTACTTTCTAAATGACCAGGAAAGTAGAAGGGGTTGCAGTTTCCCTGGTTCAAATCAAGAACTCTATTCAAGCTGCTGGAGACAATGACAGTATCATATGGGCAGAGGAACGGATCTGATGCCATGCTTCTACGTGGCAGGTGTTGTTAGAGCAGTGCTGATCAGGGACCTCGAGGCTCCCAGACTCTGCAGGACCAGGGTGACCCCAGAGCAGAATGACCAGGAGGGAAAGCAGGGTGGCACTCATAAACCTCTACAGCGTTTCTGAGCGTGGTAGGCACACAGGAGCACAACCAGGAGAACCACTGTGGCAGCACACAGCCTTAACACTGTTCATGTCACAGTGGTACCCAGGTCCTCGGCCACAAAGCACCCCTGAGTGTGGAACCCCAGGCTGCACCGCTCTAGCTCTCCACTCAGCTTTCACAGAAAACACTGACATTTGGGTTTTTTGTTTTGAATGAAAAGAGAACAAATTTCAAATTATCAAAATCTTTTAAAAGCCATGCCCTGCCCAGCCAGTCAGTATGTGTTAGTTTATGACAACTCCTCTGGAGTGTCCAGTATTTAGTAATTCACTTTATTGGCTAATAGTTTTGAAAACAGCCACTGCTGCTTAGGTGTTCAAGGTTTGGGAATGCCTAACTCTAGCAGAGAAAGACTTTTGGGCAATGACGTACCAAATTTTATCTTCTCTGGAAAACCAAGTTAGCCATGCTACATTTTTTTTCCCCCAAACATATCTGTTTTTCCTGAAAATTTTCCATTGTGAATTAAAAGCTTGTAAGGCATAGGAAACTTTTCGGCTTGACCAAAACAGTGTGATTCAATTCAGCCATTGCACTGAATCCAGTTTGGTGAAAGGTTTCCATTCTCCCTTCAGTCCCAACTCTTGATTTGGACTTCATCATCCACTGCAATTACCCGCCTCCCACGAGACACTCCTGACTTTCCCTGGGAGAGGGGATGCCCTGGGGAAATCCAGGCAATGGCCAGGCCTTTCAAGAGAGGCACAAGGCCATTAAACCACAACTCCCAAGATGTACCGCTAAGGCATGTTAGGGTCAGAATGTTCCAGATTTCAAATCTTCATAAATAACTTGGCATTTTTCTCTAGGAGTAAAAGAAGCAAACCGTGTGACGCTTTTCCAGTCAGCTGAGCTAAGTTATCAAGCTCCCACACAGTTAGGAAAAGTACCCTCCACATATTTTTGTGCAGCTTTACAGTTCTGTACTGAGTCCTTTGTTTCTTTATGATAACTGGAAAATCAGACCCTTCTAAGATGCCAAACATCATCCCAGAACTCTGGGTGTGCCAAAAAGAGTGCCTTCTCAAAACATGTACGCCAGGTTTAGGCTGTTTCAGACAGGGGAATCTGTTCCCTCTGACCAGGATGCCTCCATCAGTTTGCTAATCCAAGTTAGCAAGGTGCTGTCCCTGCGAGTCAGACTGAAGGAGCTCAAGTCAGGGTTTGAGAGAAGGTGATTAAAGACCCAAGGGTTTATCTGTATGGCTGCATGATAATTGACAGCTTCTGAATCCTGCTCTATAGAAAGCCTGGAGACCCCTGCATTTGTTGCACAGGACATAGCCCTTCCCTGCCTGCCTGCCTGAGCCACATACTATCCAGGCCTCAGTAGAAATGCTATGAGCTGAAGGGGAGGGAATCTGGGAGTATCGTGAGGTTAAAGACTGGATTTGCCCCACAGTCCCCATTCCCTCCCATCACTTCTGATATCACAGACCAAAAGCCAGGCAGGCAAGGCACTGGTTCTCTGACAGCAAACATCTCATCTCCTCTCTTAGGGGGGCAAGGCTGGCTGTGGGGAGGCTGCAGCGATAACGTGGGCTTTGGGGAAGCCATTTCCAAGCAGTTTGTGGATGCCTTGGAGACTGGACAAGATGCCAGAGCTGCTATGAACCTGCATAACAATGAGGCGGGTAGAAAGGTGAGTTCTTCTCTCCCTCCAGACCTGACAGTGCATACCAGATTGGCTCTGGCCATCCACCTCGAAGAATTACAATTTGCTGTAGCTAAAACACATGCCCAGAAGAAACAACTTCTGGGAGGATGGCAGCAGTACAACGTGATGTGTGGTGTTTGCTCTAAGGTAGCAAAGCTTTGTGATTACAGCGATAATGGTTTCCTGCAGTCCTCCTTCTCCCAGTTCAAGGAGGAGAGTACTGTGAAGCAAATCTATGAGCTTCAGGGCTATGGCGCAGGGAGGGTTGATGGCAAACTCCTCCACAGGCCTGGAGCCATGTTTCTGCATGCACTGCAATATAGAAACAACCCTCTGGGCTTTTTCTTGAATTCCCTCTCTCTGCTCACTCTGTAGGCAGTGAAAGGGACCATGAAGCGGACTTGCAAGTGCCACGGTGTGTCAGGGAGCTGCACCACTCAGACCTGCTGGCTACAGTTGCCCGAGTTTCGGGAGGTGGGAACTTACCTCAAGGAGAGGTACCACAAAGCCCTGAAGGTAGACTTGCTGCAGGGGGCAGGGAACAGTGCTGCCAGCCGGGGTGCCATCGCTGAGACCTTCAGCTCCATCTCCAAGAAGGAACTGGTCCATTTAGAAGACTCTCCTGACTACTGTCTGGAGAACAAGACACTGGGGCTGCTGGGCACAGAGGGCAGGGAGTGCCTGAAGAGGGGCAAGGCACTCAGCAAGTGGGAGAAGCGGAGTTGCCGGCGGCTGTGTGGGGACTGCGGGCTGGCAGTGGAGGAGAGACGAGCTGAGATGGTGTCCAGCTGCAACTGCAAGTTCCACTGGTGCTGTGCCGTGCGGTGTGAGCAGTGCCGCAAACGGGTCACCAAGTACTTCTGTGTCCGCAAGGAGAAGCGGGAGCGGAGCGGAGGTGGCGGGGCCAGCCGCAAGCTCAAGAGAAAGCTCTGACTTGCTTCCATGGTCCTGCCTGCCCCTCTCCTCTCCTGCCCTCCCCATCAGCCCCTGGCACCATTTCTGTTTGGCATAGTTTTGTCTCATTCTCATTGCTGCCTCATGGGGGATTGGGCAAGGATAAAGAGCATTGTATGAATCCCCAGGTCTTGACCACACAGGGCATTAGTGCAGTGGGTGACGACTTCTGGGGATACCTTCAAGTGTTGAAAAAACGAGGTGAGATTTGGTCTTTTCAACTCAGAGTTACTCTATCCAGTGTTTCTATCTGGTTTTATCTCTGAAAACACAGTGGGTGTCTTGGTGGCTCCTATGCTTTTGAGTTTGTTTGTTTGTTCCCCAAACAAGCACCAACTCTGGGCTTTTGAGTGAGATCAACACTTAGGAAAGTACGAGGAAATTGACATGACACCAATGGAGTTGGGCAACTCAGAGCAGTTATCCCTAAATGAGAAGAGGCTTTTAGTACCCTAAAAAAATAAAGGCACTAAAATAAAGTTGTTATTGCCTAAGCCCTACACTATGAGGGAGTAGAAAAGGCATGCAACTCCTTCTTGCAGAAAGCCAGCATCAAAGAGGCCCACAGCATCACTTCCCATCCTTTGACAGCTTTGGTAACCTCTCCAGTGCTTTACTTTGCATTTGAAATGGCAGCAGCAAGATTGAAGCTACTGCTTGGCCTGCCCATTAAACAGCTGTTCAAAAAAGGGGTCCCATCCCTCAGCTTTTACATGCTTTCTCTGTGTCTTCCAAGCCTTCAGGTCTGGTCCCCCTTTTCACTCCAGCATTCCTGCCAAAGCCCCTGATTGATGCCACAAAGATGCCCTCACACTTATTTCTCCTGTCCCTTTTGCCTCCCAAATCTCCCCCAGAGGAGCTGCCAGCTGAGCCCGTTCCCCATCTCCTGGTGTACTTGCCAAGTACTTTTACCCTGTCAGCTAACTAACTAAATACTTCCTTGTAGTCTGAGAAAATAATGTCAGTTACTATTTAATGGTGGTGTAAATAGGAAAGTGAAGCACTTTGAAGTTTAATTTATTGCACAGTTACTGTGATGTACACATAACAGTTTTTCTTCTACTACTTATTGTATATATTCTATAGGCTAAGCAAGCAGCAGGAAGATTTGGTTGATGCATCTCTGTTCCCTTGCTGTGGTTGGGATAGGGAGGTGAGAAGCTGCCAGCTGCAGCACCTGGGGAAGCTCACTGCACCATCACTGCGATCTTCCCTGGGGCTGCTATGTTATGTCTTTGCTGTTTGAAGCGTCCTTTAGCCATATGAGAAGCCAGCAGAGCTAAGTTACTGGCCGTTAGACCTGTCTTGTAGCCAATATTTGTAAACCAATAGCCAATGCAATAAATCAGTAGCCAAGTGCTTGCAAAATGCTTGTGTCTAAGTAGTTGGGTGTTCTTTCATCCCATTGCATCTGTGGGTGTTTGTAGTTTCAGTCCTGGAGACTAAAACCCACCTGCTTACCCATCTGTTGAGTCCAGGAAGACCTGGTCAGTCCACTTCATGCAGCACAACCTTGGGTCCTACCAGGAGGGGAAAGGACATGCTCTCTTCTCGATCTTTCTTGAGGGTGCATCCAACTGTAATGCAGTTGCCAGGAGGAAATGGGATGGGAGGGGGCAGGCAGGAGCCCAGTTGCCCACTTCATAGCTCAGATATTAGAGACACTCAGTCTGTATGTGCCTCTTTGTTATCAAATAGCCCCTTCCTTCATTATCAAATACTTCATCGAGAGTGGGAATTTGGACCTAGGGCAAGCTGGGGTCTCACCAGAACAAGAGCATTCATGTCAACCAAGAATTTGGTCCTTCAAAAATTGCAAGAAACCATCTTGGCCCACCTTCAGGGAAAACCGAAACACTTCCACTTCACACACAAACCACCAGCTGCTTCTGCAGAGGTTTTTATTAATACAGCAACCCTGCCTTAGGTCTCTCTTGTATCTCCATCAGCAGTTCCTCCATCTCCCCGTGGTGGAATTGCATCCTTGGGCAGGGGAGCAAAGAGGGGGCAAAAGCCTCTTGCCCAGCAGGGAAAGCTCTAACACTGGCTGGCTCGAGGACTATGGCGAGGCAGGGAGAACAAAGGCAAGGCAGAGGACAACTTCTACCCTCTTTTCCTTCTGTTCCTCCCTCCCATCCGTTCCACGGCCAGCTGGAAACACAGGAAAAGAAGACGTGGAAGCCGTTTCCCTTTTCCTCCCGCTCCTACCCTGTCTCTCCCCTGCTGACACTGCTGCCCCACACAGTTGCCCCGCGAGGGCCGTGGCACAGCCCGGGATGTGCCCGCTGGGCGCAGTGAGGGCTGTTGGAGAGGGGGACGTGTGGGGCACGGCCTGTGCCAGCCCCATCGCCACACGCTGCTTCCGCTGGGGGAAAACGGCGACACCGCAGCTGCAAAATGTGCTGACCTCAGCAGCGGGTCCCCCCTCCCGGCGCAGGGAGCCCTCAGTGGTAAAGGCCCTGCTGCCATTGTGGGCAGGATTGGATGCTTCCATGTATTCATTTCGGTTTAATGAAGGCGCATTCCTCAGAGGAGAAATATTTACATTCAGCTTCCCAGGTGGTCACCTTCGCCCAGATGACACACAAACAGGCAGCCCCCCGCTCCCTTTTCCAATCCAAACCTCTTTAGAGGGCTCGGGAGGAGGGGAGAGAGGGGAGGGGGGCTGCTGGGGGAGCAGAATAGAGCAGGGAACAAAATGCTAATAAATCAGCCAGCCAGCCCTTTTCCCCTCCCCTCTGTGGAGTCAATGGAAAGTGTCATTTCACATGCTAATCCCCCTCCGATCTCTTTACAACACCTTTTCCGAAAAGTGTTTGGGAAAAGTCCTTGTGGCCCGTTTACAGCTCCCCGCCGCTTCAGATTCCTTCTTGTCTAAGGCCGCGGCCCCCGTGTGGGTCTCTCCCTCCAGCAGGGCTCCTTACAAAAAACATCTCAACAAAGACTTTGGAGTTCATCAGCCTCCCACTGAAATTCACAGCTGCTGAACAAACTAATCCCCTCTCTTGGCCTTTCTTCCTTTCAATGGGTTCTTGGCTTCAAAGACACTTTGGGAAAGGACTTTGTGGGGACTCACACTGCTCCCTCAATAGAAGTTAGTGCAAGCATTATCTTCAGAGCAAGTGGCTTTACAAACAAATACTGCCTAACAATCTCTGCCCCTCCAGCTCCCCCAAACACACACAAGCCTAGCCTGCAGACATGATGTTATCTGCGACAGGATTAGAGCTCTGTTCTCTGTGCCCAGGGATTCTTTCCTACTGCCTCCCACCGCCTGCCCCCCCAAATTCTTTGCCAACCCAAAAGCCTTCTCACCCAGCTGAAAATGGTTTCTCTAGTGCAGGGGTGCCCACATGGGAGGGGGCAAAGCAGAGGGGCCGCTGCCCACAGATCAAAAGCTGTTACCAGCCAGCAGAGATATTGCTATAAATGGAGGAGCACTTTCCAGCAGGGTATGTGTAACATACCACACCAGGGCCACAGAAGCAGGGCTTCTGCCACAAGCCTCTCCAACACTTTCAAGCGGGTCACCTCACTTCCCCTGCCTGTTTTCCCTACCAAGAGCTTCAGGGATGGTGCTTGTAGCGGTAAACCTGAGCAAAAGTGAGCAACAGTGGGACAAAGGGGCAGGTGGGAAGGACTTGCAGCAAAGGGAGGACAAACAGCCAGTCTCTGCACAAGTCTTGGATAGCAGGAGCCGAGTGTGCTGGAGGGAACTAAAATCAAATGCATCTGAGAAATACATGGAAAAATCCGTGCTTATTTCTCAGTGGTAAGAAATGGCCTGAGTTAAAAAGAGCAAGGGGTTGGACTGCACAGGGTACTACAACTGAATCAAGAAAGGCAGAATCTAAGAAATGCCAGGCTTGTTAAATGAGCTCAGAAGGCTGGGATTTTCCTTATATACTCATTAAGCAAATGTATGCCACCTGGGCTACCTGTGTTATGATCCCTTCTGATGCTGCACAAGTGTAGCCTTTGAAAAATCAGCTTGCATCTCCCTGATGGGGGACAGTTCTTAGGCCAGGCTGCAAAAGCTCTTCAAGACTCCTTCACATCTCGTGTTTGCGTCTGCCAGCAGCAGAATTACAAAAGGCTGGTTTTCCTTGAATGCTGTGACCCTGACTCTCATAAATCCCGGTCCCTTCCCAGCAACAAATCTTCACCATCCAGTCTTTCTGAGCCTTTGCTTCCTCCTAAGTCCTCCAATCTCAGGCCAGGTAATATAGTCCTGCATATTTCAGAGTTTCATGTGTGCTGTCTGGCAGGCCTGTATATATACCAGCTAGCTGACAGCAAAAACAAACAAAAAAAATTGAGATTACATCAGAATTACTTTCTTTTATCAGAAGCTAGTTTGATTCCTCTGACTTTATCTCAGTTCCAATGTTTCACTTCAGCCTTCTCACCTCCTTAAAAGCTTAAACGAAATCAGCTAATAGATTTGTAAGTTATTAACTAATGGTACGAACTGACAATTCAATGGTATAAATTTCCTCACAGGTCCAATACTCATCCTTGTTTAAGCTGCATGGCTTCAGTGGTGTAACATTTATTTCCAACAGGAGAGAATCTCATCAAGGGCTCTCTGTTTATTTACTGACATAATTCCAACTCTTGGTGTCAAGTGTGAAATCCCCAACACTGCTGTGATTCCCCAAGAGAACATCAGCCAGTCTGGGGGCCTTCTTGTGTTTGATGCAGATGAACAGTCACAATTGAGGCAGGTGATCTGGAGATCAGTTCTCTGACCTTGCAGTCTTAAGGAGTAAGTAAGACCTGAGGTCTCACCACAACAGGATGGATGCTGCCCACATCAGCAGAGCCCAGAATCTGGTTTGCCCCCCCCCAGTTCTCAACTGCCCCTTCACCAAAGCTGAGAACTCAGCTCTCAGTGGGTGGCATGCAGACTGAGGAAGTCCCCTGCAGCCAGAGGTGACAAGTTTAAGAAAAAAAGCATCACAAAACACAGCTTTTATTTCACTGTTCTGTAATCTCTCAGTGCATCAAATCGCAGCAATAGAAACAACACAGCAGCAACAAGGAGGCACTTTGACCTGGGAAGGAGAGAATGAGACATGTCCTCTTCCTCCTTTCTCCGATTCTCCTCCTTACTAAGTCTCATGGTAGAGTAGGCTGATTCGTGTACTGAACCACAGGCCCATGATACCGTTATCACTCAAGCAGCAAGAAGAGGAAGCAGGGGCTGGCTGCTTCCTAATGTCGGGAAGAAGCCTTGCTCCCAGCTAGGGCTCAAGGATTATGCTGCCTGGTTAGTAAGG